ACAAGAAGTTAAGCTATTTATTTTTCCCCATTAGGCACAAAATGATTCTTGTGCATAGCATAAATAATGAAATTGGAGTTACATTTTGTCCTCTCAAAATATTTTTAATTACTGTTGTCCAGTATTGAAATAATCAATATCTCCCCTACTTCCTCTGGCTGAGTGTTTGGATTTGAGGAATTCCACCATGACTGGCCTCCTAGGAACTTTCTGTTTAACAAAGTCGTGGTGTGGGACCACATAGTTTGACAATGGAGGTCTGAGTAGATTTGATGACCTCTGTTATTGACTGTGATAAAAAAGATGGTAGGCAGGCATGTGTCCAGAAGATCTGATTGAAATTATGGTATCTGCAGGCAAGGTAGACAATTTCTGGTCTCAAGATTTATAGTCCTATGATCTTTGACTTATAACTAGTTGTGGTTTCTTCACCTGAACACTGGGGGAGAAACTTCAACTGCCATATTATTAAAACTTGGCCTGTAACCTTACTATTATAAAAATTAGAAAATGTTTACTGGTCAATAGTAACAAAATAAAATGTTTATTTGTTACCTAACAAAACATGCAGTGTTTTGTGAATGTAGCATATTTTTAAAGAATGTAAATTTTGTTTTAAAGACTCTGACTGTCACTTATCTTTGAGGAATATTTTATCTGTAAAAATAACACATCTGGGTCTCCAGAGCTCTTGAATGCCATCCTTTCCTCTACTGTGTTCTGCTAGTTCCCTTATTATTCTGTTCCTATTGCATTGCTGCCTGTAGAAATCACCATGATGAGAAAGGGCCAGTGAAGGGCACCAAGTGTATGGACTATTACTCCCAACTTATTCCCCTGAGACAAGGTTTAACACTGAATCTGAAGCTGGGTTTGTGGCCCAGCAAGTCCCAGTGACCCGCTTGTCAGCTTCTGTGGGGCTAGGGTTTCAGGTGTACATGGCCATGCCCAGGATTGTACCTGGGTGCCAGGATCCAAATGGAGGTCCTTATGTTTGTGTAGCAAGAACTCCTACCCACTGAGCCATATTTCTGTACACTCAAACTTTTTCTAGTCTATCTGGATAAGTTAACAGGGAATTTCCCCAGGTGGTGTCCTGTAGGCTAATAGAGGGTTCAAATCTTTTCCTAGACTTAACTATGTGGAGTCCTCAGCAACTCATGTAGAGCCCTTGCATTTAACCTGCTACACTGTGCACTTATTGCTGAAATAATCATAATAGCTCTGAAAGCCCTCCATCATGGAAATTTTCAAGGAAGGAAGAATAATTTCTTAAAAAAACAAAACAAAACAAGTCCACAGGATGAATGTCAAGTTATTGACTCCTAATGTTTTGGAAGCTAATTTCCTTTCCTGGGAAAGCCTGGACTTTGAGATTCTGTTGGTGATAGTGTTCTTTTCTATTTAGTCTCTATGACAAAATGAAAAGTGGAATAGTAAGTAAAAGCTGAGTTGAGGAATCACCCCTCAGAAGTGCAAACTCCTGCTGTGGGTGAGAGGCCCAGTGCTTTAAGTGATGTAGTTTCTTTCAAAGTTTAAATCTCGTTAATCATAGTAAATTTCACACTAATTTCCAGCTTGGAAAATTGTTTCTTGATAAGTTTTCCCTTATGAGGAAAGTTTAGAGGTAAGAAGAAAATTAGCCTTCTCCTTATCTCAAGGACAGGCCTTCCTGCTCCACCCTCCCTGCCTGGTAATTTTGAAAAGATCATTTTAAAATTAAGAAAAATATTATTCATATTTACGCCTTTCCTACAGTATGAGAAAGTGTTCTCACCAGAAAGCTTTCTCTTCACACATCACAGAGCAGTTTGCAATCTGGGTTGCTTGTGACTGGAATCGACTGCCTGTGTGAGGGCTTGCTGCTGCACTGTGAAAATTAGAACCAGGCCAAGTCTAATGAATAGGGTTCAGTAGACACACACACAATTGCTACTTTTGTTCCTTCCTCTGCTACCAACTCAGTGAGTAGAAAAAAATAGCCCTGGCACCACAGCAGAACTATCCCTTACTGCCACCTCACATGGCACCACAAAGTAGGTGTTCATGAGTTTGATGGAGGGAGGGGAAGGGACGTTGTCTTTTTCCCTTTACTTTCCTTAGATAAAGGTCTTACATCAATAAGCACTGTTAGTGTATTCTAAATTAATTACAAAGGTAAAGGGCTGTAACTGCCTCTTGATATACAGAAACAGTGACTTTATTACAGTGCCAGCTGCTTCAGTCCCATGGCTCACTATCGAGTATGTGATCAATGCAGCCTTCGTTTGCACATATAGGTGTCTTCTGAACCTTTGAAATGGAAGGCGGAGCCAAACCCGTCCACCTTCTCCATCCTTCTTAAACAGAACCAGGTCTGCCAAACTGACAAAGACTCTCTCTCTCTCTCTCTCTCTCTATATATATATATATATATATATATATATACAAATACATATACATATATATGTGTGTATATATGTAATATAATATATATAAATAACATTTATAATATGTTTTATAACATATAATATATATTACATTTTTGTTAGAAGATAGGATTAACCAATTAAGCATGTTTTTCAAACAACAAAATGATTCATATTGTTCCAAACTGTGTGCTTTGCTTGGTTGCAATATGAACTATCAATTATTAAAAAAAAAAACAACAACATAATAACGTACACTGAATCATGGAAATACTTGAAATAGTGTGCTATGTTAGCAACTTTATTGGGGTTTTTCTTTGATATCTGGACTTCTGTATCCACTGTTAACATGAAAATTCAAGAGCTTATATTCCTCTTTAGATTCACAGAAATTAATAGAATTTACTTAAAGTTCAAGAACTTCTAAAAGGAAATTCAGACATTATATATTAAGCACACTTGTACTTTTATGTTTTTCTACTAAGAATGTATTTTCTCAGTAGAACTCAGAATAAATGTTTTTTTTTTTTTTTCCTTTTTAAAAAATGGTGCTTTTTAAAGACAGGATATCAGTATGTACCCTAGGGGGACCTCAAATTTGCAATCCTCCTGCCTCAGCAACTTCAGTACTAGGATTACAGTTGTGTGCCACCAAATGTACCTAAACATTTTCTCACTTTTGGGGTGTTTAGTTCCTAAAATGATATTTGCTGTAAGTCAGCATTTAATGTATAGTAGCAATTAATTTTATGTATATTCATAGCTTGTGATATGACCTACCTTGCATCTTAAACTACTATTCTTACATTTGTATGTTGCAGATAATTTTAGCTTATAGGAGGAACTTTCTTATAGAGTGTTGCTTAAATATAAAGATATCATATTTAAATGCTGATTGTCAGTTATATGTCCTGATATTTAATTAATTTGTTATGTACTGTTATGTACTATGTATTAAAAAAGCAACATAGATCTTTTGCAAACAATGTCTTCCTTTTATACAGATGTCTGTGCCTCTCTAACAGTCAAAGGGAAAACAGTCCAAACAAGATCCAAATAAGTGAGGCTTGTAGACTGAGGCACCATCAAGCTGCTGTTTAGAATAAACTAACTCAAATATAAATGCTCAAAAGCTATATAATTTGGGTAGCTTGAATAGCTATTAAATCCATTTGGGTATTCGTTTTATTGCCTTTGTCTATAAAAGCAGAATCATTGCAAGTTTAAGTGAATATAGACACATATATAAATATGTACTTAAAATATATACTGTATGTATATTCACTTAAGGCCTTAATTTGATATCATATAATACATATACAGAAACACTTGAGAGACATTTTGTCAGATAGCAAATGCTATTTAAATATTAACTATCATACTGCCTTATCATCTCTACCTCTAAACTACTAATAAATAACAAAGTTAAATGATCTGATGGTTCTCCTTTCTTGAAGGTTCAAAGATCACAGCAAAACGGTTTCCGTAAGAAGTGGAGCGAACACAAAATGGGAGGTCCTAAAAACGATACCCCAGACAGGCCAATCACTTCCTGAATACACAGCTAGCACTTTGCAGAACCAGGACAGGAACTGCTGGTTGGGTTATTTTTCTTAGGAATGATGAATTGTGATGGTCCAGAAACAGTACTGAGGAGAATTACAACTCCTGCTGCTCAGCACCTATTACCAAACCAACAGTATTAAAAAAAAAGGGGGGGGGACTATAATTTCATATAAATCAAAACAGCATATTTCCAGCTTTATAAGGACAGATATTTGTCTATTGGCCCATTGCTATGTTCACACAGTCTTGGATGGTGTCTGGGTAAGTAGCTGTTAAATAAGCCTCGGAAGTGAAAGCCTTGCTCTATCCTTTTGATGGGAGTAGTATTAAAAGGAAAATAAAAGGCATGTGCTCCTAAGTGGGGGATTCCTGAGCTGGAGAAGGCTAGGAGCTTCCTCCCTCCGTGGGTCTGAGAGCAGCATGTGGGGGAGTGAGTGCGGACAGTTTAGGAGGCATTTCAGCAGCCATGGAGCTGACTCAGCATTCGCAGGAATGTGGGTTGCACAGCGGTGTCACATTTAGCTCATGTTCCTGTGCAGACGTCACATCTGAATTGCAGGTACCTTGTCCAGCTTCTCTCTAACTTTACTGTCTCTACTTGTATATTTCTTCCCTCAAGCATTTTCAGAAACCTTTCACCTGTGACGTGGCGTCATAAAGAACTTAGGAGAAACCTTTGGCAAACATGGAGCTTACTTTTAAACTTTGAGTGATGAAAATAATTTGCCATTATTCATTTCACAGGTAACTTAGCTCAGGACCTCAGAGGATGGATTAGCATAACACTATTAGAACTGTGTCTGACATCAAATCTAAACGCACATTCTTTTCATTTCCATATCAAACTTTTTTTTTTTTTTTTTTTTTTTTTTTTTTTTTTTTTTTTTTTTT